CAGATAAATAAAATTGAAGTGTCTGTTTGTAATGACAAAATAACAGCTTATTAGTAAACGCAAAAAAAATATATACGGTACTTATTAGACTTGCAACCAATATTCGGCTATTATTCGGTATTCAGCCTATTCGGCTACTTTTTTCCTATTGGTCCGAATGCCGAATATCTAGATACTATTCGGCCGAATACCGAATACTTAAGTAATTATTTGTTTGTTTACTGTTTTATTGTACTCAGATAATTGGTAAAATGAAAATATTGATTTATTTTATAATAATACATTTTTCTTATAATTATAATCATTAAAGTAGTCATAGGTACATACATAATCAAGTTCTGTAGTACAAAAGTTAACCAAAGAAACTAACAAATAATAAATGTCTATTACCATAATTAAATTTTAAAAGCGACAATCCCAGGTTCAGAGAAAAGAAGCTCTGAATTAATACTGCTTCCTGGCGCCAAACAAGAAACAAACTCATCGATGCAAGTTTTCCCGCCACAAATTTTGCGTTGACCGAATAGTTTTCCTAATATTCGGCTATTCGGCTAAACAGCCCACCGAATATTCGGTATTCAGTGCATGACCGAATATACTATTCGTTGCAAGTCTAGTGCTTATGTATAAGAAAAATACAACTCTTAAATTTTTTATCTGTCTGTCTGTCTGTTTGTTCCGGCTAATCTCCAAAACGGCTGAATTTATTTTGACGGGACTTTCACTGACATATAGCTAATGTAATAAGGAGTAACTAAGGCAGCTTTAAGGAAAAGAATAAAGATTCCGCTCAAAAAAAAATAAAACGTACTAACCTAACTGACCCGATCTAGGATCGAGGATAAGTCGTAAAATAATAAATAGGGCCGGCGCTTTGCTTTATTTTTAGTTTAGTAGTGAATTAAAAGATAAGAATAAATTTCAAATCCAAGTCATGTAATATTTAACATGAATATATTATCAACCAATTTAAATATCTAAGCTATAACCTTCTTTATTTCAAATGGTTTTTTTTACCAAGGTCAATTAGGAAATACCATAAGGCGCAACATCTGTTCTCATGTAGTTCATAAAAAATGGATCACAGGCTTCCTAGCGTATCCTGGATATAAAAAAACAAACAGATGACCGGCAGACAAATTCGCATGTGCAGTTTTTTTGTGAAATTACCAATATTTTTCCTAAACATATGCCTAAATTCTAGATTATGACATAAAACAAAAACAAATCCATCCCAAGGGAACCGTTCATTTATCTGGGATAAAAAGTAGCCTATGTGCTATTCCAGACTATAATCTATCTCTGTGCTAAATTTCATCCATATCGGTTCAGCCGTTCTGACGGTATTGAGTAACAAATATCCATCCAAACATCTAAACTTTCACATTTATAATATTAGTAAATTTTTTGTTATACCAATCATACACTATCATAATAAGAAAAAGCTGGCAACTATGAGAAATGGGGATTACAATAAATTCATACCTTCGTGAGTCATGAGGTGGGACTCTTCAGCAACTAATATCTACTACTACTAGGCCTTCGGGTTTGGGCTCATTTGATTCTCATTTGATTTAGAATTTTACATGACAGTTAATCAAACGATTGTTTCTTAAGTTTCCACGCTGTAATTTTATTATAACTTATTTACCCACGTGATCGGATTTTCACGATCTTAGAGAGCTTAGAGTTTACCACGAGCAAGATGTTGTTATTTATATACTTAGACAAAAGTTTAAAAGTGATCTTCTCTAATTAAAAGTTACTACGTAACACAAGTTGAATGAATACAAAGTAGCATGCATCAAATGCACCGAAACATCGTATTAAATAGGATGATACACTGCAAGAGTACTAGATAACATGGTCATGTTTTAATCAATCGTAAAAAAAAATGTTAAATTACACAAAAATGTACGTTTGCATCTAGGCCGTAGCCTCTAAAATTGCTGGAGCGATTCTAAAAATTATTTTAATTCTTTTGCTTCTTCAAAATTCTTTTACTTGGCAATAAAATCGTAGTTACACTACCATCGAATAATGATGTAAATGTACATATAAAAGTAAACAATTTTAGTTTTAAAACGTCTGTTAAAACCGATCGGCGTATTTAATGCCTATTATAATGTAAACCTGCACATGTGGTCTTTGAGCATCTGTTTGCGTACACTGATTAAGTTCACACGTTTTTAATATATGGTATACAAGACAGCGAAAGCGATATTTTAGAGAAATTACCTTCTCAATATAACATTATGTACAATAAATATATTATTCTGATAATATCACAATAATACTGTTTTATTATTGTATCTTAATAATAGCATACATATATACTATCAGTGGATATTTTTGTATATTAGTATCTCAGAAGTACCATCTCGTTGTTTGTTTCCCGAATAATCAAATAAATAATAAGTAAATAAATAAATAAATATAGGTATGTACAAATAAATAAATATAGGTATGTATATAATAACCTATATTATATAATATATATAAGTACCTATAGTAAATCCAGCAAGCTATCTTTATTCCGTACTGAGGACTCATTCACTCACAAACTTTCGCATTCATAATGTTAGTCTGAACTTTGAGAACAATATAATTAAATTGATTTCTTCTGTAATACTTTCTTAGATTTACGCGAATATTTGACATTTTAAATAAAACTATCTTTTCGGATTTTTTCGCGGATTTATTTATTTATATGTATTTATATATAATATTTAATTAGTTTTATAACTGAATATGGAATATTATTTATTTAATTTTTGCTGTTATCATTATAATTATTACAATTTTAAAAATATTAATTAGTAATCAATATTTTCTGTAGCCATAATTATATTTATAACCATAAAGAAAGAATTAAAAAGACAATTTACTAAGCAACACTATTACTATATACTTTTTTACAAATGAAAAATATTAATCTGAAATGCTGTCATTTTGATCCACACAGTAAGAACTTACTACATCTACCTGTCTGTTTTGTTTAGATTTATTATTTGATTTTATTATATTAATAACAGGCTGTCTGTAACAAATATACCTTCGAGACATCTAACACCTCAGTCTCTCCCATGACCATGATTGCTGTAAAGCATTCGAAACATCGGGAACCAAAAATCCAAATAAATCCGCGAAAATATCCGAAAAGAGAGTTTTATTTAAAATGATTTCTTCTGTACTTTGAATAAAATATAAGAATATATTCTTGACATAGTATACAGAAAAGATTTTTTTTATGTAAGCTTAGAAAATTTTTTTACAAAGTAAAACTTCGAAATTCTCTATGAGAGTCACCAATCAAGTAAATGAAGTCCACACGTGTGACAGTTTACCGTGTGCACAGAATAGGTAATATTGTGTTATTATGGAAATTCGTGTCAATTAGGGAACGTAACACCACGCTTCTAATGCAGAGGTGTTCCCAGATAATACTATAAATACATTCCGACACGCTGTTTGTATTGGACATGTGTTGATAGTAAGTCATTAGGAACGTGGGTAAATTGTCCACAAAGTGGGCGACTATTCGATTAAAGTTTCCTCGTAAGACTTTTTCAGCTTTTTCAAAGAACTTTTTTATTCTACTTGTACGTATATACATGTAGGTGTTTATGTTGGTTTGTGTATTCTTTAAAGCAATAAGCGTTATATATATTTTTTTCAGAACATTTGATGGGTCGAAGAAGGACATGCAAATAGACTTTTATTCGAGTTCATCTAAAGATTTCCGTTTATTAGTAAGTGATTGTACGGTGTGTAATGAGATAGTTACTTTCCTTAAAATTAGATATTTAATTATTTTTTTCATTAACATTAAAAATGCAACATTAGCGAAAAAGACAAGGGATGGAGAAAGTGAGTGCATGTGAGTTTAACTCCTTTTAATATATTGCTCTTTCCTTAGGCACGTACATAGATTGCGAGTAGAGCCGCGGGCAAAAACTGGTTCAAATAAATTATTATTATTAATTTTACTGATATGTTATTGTAAAACGTGATTATTAATAGTAATTAAAGCCAAGGTCGCTTTTAGCAATCCGTTAAACATTACAATATTCAAAAAACCTTCACCTCATAACCAACGAAGGATCAGCATTACAGGAAATTTGTTGTCATTACCTGAAGAAAAAAAAAGTTACATGAATAAATTGTTTCAAGAAATTTAATTTTAGATAAAAGATATATTTTATTTAAAATGAGCTTAAAAATATATTAAAAATAATTTGACAGCGGTGGGATTCGAACCCACGCCCTTTCGGACTGGTGCCTAAAACCAGCGCCTTAGACCACTCGGCCACGCTGCCTCTGGAATCAAATGGGAAATAAGTTCCAACATTCCAAGTACTCTCTTAAACATTACTCGCCAAGTAAAACATAGCAAATAGCCCAATCAAACTTTTTCAATTTCAGAAACATTGTTATTACAAGCACTTGCTGTCTGAATTACACTAAAAACACATTTATTTTTAAATAACGAACTTAGTTTCGGAAACAAATTCTAGTTGTTTTTTATTCATCAAACATTCTCGTTTCATTAGTCAATATAACTGAATTCAAAAGCCTCAGGAAAAATGTACGTTTCCCGTGCGATAGGTTTGTTGTAATTGTTTGTATTTTTATATTATTCTTTTTCTATATTCTTTTTTTGTAAAAATAATAAAGCAACAATTATAATTACAAAAATATTAAAAACGATACAGAGATTACCTGATAAGTATCTCGGACAAATAAATTTTAGCTCCCACATGTATGTGCAGGTCGTATGCGTAAATGCATTTCGCAACATTAGGTGCCTTTTTACTTATAATATTACATACAGACAAGAAATCTTTTGCAAAATTTTATGTATTGTAGCATATGTGTTAATCCAGGTCTATGTACATATATACTAAATTTCACACAAATCAGTGTGAAGGAGTAACAAGCACACACACATAATAAATTGTTGCATTTAGGTATAATAATATTAAATTAATAAGTAGTTAATGAATTACAGGCCACGATTGTTGGACTGCAAAGGAAACCTACATCGTTGGTGGTCGGACTCCGCAATAGAAGCGTTCCACCATCGCGCGCAATGCCTTATAGACCAATATGGCCAATATGTAGTGCCTGAAGTTAATATGAAATTAGACGGCGTTAATACACAAGTAAGAAGTAGTCATTAATACTTAGTGTTCGCGATGAACAAAAGAAAGATTTGGATATTTTCTCGATGATTTATATTACTCTGTATTATCAGAATTACAATGAAATTTTATTTATGAGTGCAGGTGTTGTGTGCAACAAGTAGAATGAGGGTAGTGTTAAATGATGTATAATTGACGTAGTGAGTGACCAAGTTGTATTTGTATTTTTGAGAAATGTGTATTGTGATTGGTCGAGTGTTATAACTCTGTAATATATAATATTTGTAATATATAATATACTCTGTAATATATATATAATAAAATGCCTTTTGTTACAGGCAGTTCAAAAGTTCGAACATTGTTTTTTAAAATGAACGTCAAAGTCAGCTGTCATATTTAATCGCACTAGGAAGAGTGCGATCTACAAAAATATAAATAGTTACAACTCTAATATTGAGAAAGGTTAATAATTTAATGCCTTTAGCAACCCTTTTATAACAGAACCTATAAGGATCCTGCAGAACGTAATGCAAGCGCGATTCAGCTTTCATGCAGCGCCATCTAGTTAGGATACTTTAAAATTTTAAAATTAATGTGCATTTTTTTCTTTTTTGTATATCAAAACCTAGCATATATAGCGATTCATTATTATCTCCATCCATAGCCTAGGCTAAAATATATGTCGGTTTTTTTGGTTTCGCATTCAATATTCATCTGTGTAACGAGAAAACCCTTACCGTAATAAGACTCGCTCGAGAAATATTGTAGTCTTTAAAAATTTGCACCAACAACTAGAAAGCGCTGTTAGCTTACTCATATATCAAAATTCCAAATAAAATATATATAAATTTGTTAACACTTATACGAATCCTACGTAATGTACCTAAGCGCAATTCAACTTTCAATGCAATGCCATCTAGGGTAAAATTTTCAAACTTTAAAAATAATGTACAGCCATTTCTTTTATTTAGTCCATAATTAACGCTTTCGATCTACAAGAGTTAAACGCTATTTAATATGAAATACTAAGTATATTTTGTTTTATATTTAACCAAAATATCTAAAAATTATTATTAACACTTACAACGTCTGTCTAATAAAATCTTACTGAGCATTAAAATTATTTTTTATAATATTTCTGATTGTTTCCAAGGACTAAAATTATGTATTCAATATTTTAGTCCATACATTGCACAGCAGCTTCCGCGCGCTTTGCGCTCCCGGCGGTAAAAAATGGAACTAAATCTCTACATTCTGGGCGAGTGCTATACAAATTTTAAATTAAATTATATAGCCTTATAGGTACGTTTTAATTTAACATGGATATAATATGTTATCCTTAAGAGATAGACATATGCCATTGCGGACTTTTCTGTAGACCTATATAAGATACACAATTCCACCATACATTATTTTGTTATATCTCAAAGGGTTTAGGCAGCGTTTTCGTTGAAAGATCCCAGAGGCTTATTTTTTTTCGACACCTCCAACAAATATCGTTATATTTTAGCCAATGTATGCAAAAACTTCCATAAGATAGTTATAAGGGCATTCCCACCAATGTGACCTGTGACAAGGAAGGAAGGAGGATTCAAAAACTCATTAATTTCGTGTCGTCATTCGGTAATTAATACATTTTTAGATTTACGCGAATGTTTGACATTTTAAATAAAACTATCTTTTCGGATTATTTCCAGGATTTATTTTGATTTTTGGTTCCCGACGTTTCGAGTAAATAAGCATTCGAAACGTACGGAACCAAAAGTGAAAATGAATCTGCGAAATAAGTTGAAAAGATTCTCAATCTACTATTGTTGATCGAAGGAAAAGATAGTTTTATTTTAAATGTCAAATATTCGCGTAAATTTCCAAAAATATTAATTACCGACTGTTTTAGAAATGACTGTCATTTATCTTTATTCTATATATATAATAATATTCTGAGTCGAATCTGTAGATTAAATATTTTTTGGAAAATCTTATTGAAATAAACATTATAATCGATATAGAGTCCGAATCTATACTTTGTAGAATATTTGTCTGTCTGTCTCTGACCGCATGACAGAAAAACCACTGGACAGATTTTGATGAAATTTGGTATGATAATACCTGATTATCCGGGTCAACATATAGCATACTTTTTACTGCGGGAAAATATATCATCTCTGAGAAATCACTACTAAACGTTAAAACGTAAGTAGAGACGAACCGAAGCGGTGCGAGGATGAGTCGCTAGTTAAGATATAAGTACTTTCATCGTTTCTCTAGTCCCGACAACGCCAACGCATTAGACCAAGAACAAGGCCTAATTCGTTCAGACGCACCTCATTTACACCGATAGCCTGTAATGGGTATTTATCTGAGACGTGCAATCATTACGGATTTATGTTCGATAATGCCTTAGTATGGGGACGGTTATGCTGATATCGTGTACGTGCCTTGGTTCTACTAATTATATAAAATTGAGGGATGGGAGCTTTCATATATATATAAACTCTTATTTATATATTACTAGTCCTGGCTTTGTCCATATGTAAAGTGATACAGATACGTACATACATACAAATGAACTGTTGTGTTCAAACTAGTAAATGTTAAGCAATAGGTACGATATGACTTTCGCGCCACCTGTTGTACGCTAGTTTTTTGTAGTACCTAAATAAAAAGTTGTCCATACGAATCACTCTCTATATTTATTAGATTCGTTTCAAATTTCGATAAGATAAGCTAATAAGTAGTCTTTGTCACTTAGAAACAATGTAGCTTCCTATAAGTAAAAATGAATTTATAAGTAAAAATAGAAATTCCTATAAGAAAATTTCGAATTAGTTTCAGAAGAAAGAATCAGCCCGAATTAAACTTTCAGCATCTGAATTCGCAAATATTTCCTCTTTCTAACATTAATATAAATTAAATAAATAAATGAATATGTTGGTACAATTTTAGTTGGTATTAATTTTCTTTTTTTTATAAATCTGTTACAATATTTTTAAAACTATACAGCCTCATAAAAGTGCGATAAACGAATCATTACAAACACCAAAAAGTATTTATTAAGTATGTGAATTATTACACTAAGTGTAAGTTTCGATTAAATAGATGATTCAGTATCGTAATTTAGTAAAATTGCGTACATCTTCCTACGTGCATTGTAGATTTATTGTAAAGGTTGACAAACCTCGTCAGTGGGAGTAATGCGACGCTTCATGGCCTAGACTGTCTTTGATAATAATCATTAATAAACAATCAAATTATTATTATAAATTGTTATAAAGACGAACCACAGTCAAGTATAATACAGATACTAAGTAATTGAAATGCTCACATCCGATTTGGTCAAAGCGTTTTGTAAATCATATGTAGCACATTTATTGTGTCAGTTTAGTTATAATGTTTTTATATAATAATGACTATTTCAATAAGATCTTCCAAAAAATATTTAATGTACAGATTTGGCTCAGAATTTAATTAATTAATTATTATACAGTATAGATAGATGACTTTTTGCACATCTACGGCATACTAGCTTTATATTAATAAGTGTCACTTCATATTTTCCCTAATAATTTTTAAAATTATAAAGAACCGTTTTTATTACGTCGAAATAATATGAAAAAAATCTAATCAATACCTACGTATTTTAATAATTATCTTATAAAACATAATAATATGTTCTTCTAATTATGTCGTGTTTAACTTCAAGATTCAATTTTATTTAGTATAAACTTCTTTTATAGTACTTACTCCGTTTCACTAAATTTTGATCCGATAGATGCATCGGTAATCTGAAGCAGATCAGCTATGACCAAATTGTGTCTCGCACAATTTGTAGACCTGCGCCTCTAGTCGTATATCTTCAATGAACAGATTTACGACATCATAAACTTGCAATATCATCAGACCAATTTCAACATAGGTTATGATTGTTTAAAATATGTATTCAATTTTCAAACGAAAATGAAATTGAATGAAAAAACAATATGGAATGAAAAATTGGTTTAAATATTAATATGTCATTAGTTAATTTTTACTTTACATGAACTTTTTAGTACATAGTGCGTGCAGTTTTAACGTTTCGTCGTAATTGATGGTCGAGTAAAGAAGTGCAAGTCATCATTTTTTAGTTATTCTGGAAATTTATAAATATTTATGAAACATTATAATTTCTAATGTTAAGTAAAATTATTCCACCCTAAATGATATTAAAACAATGAGAACAAAAAATACAAAGAACTAACGTCTTTTTGGTTTCCGTCTACTTCATTTGCTATAAAAATTAATTCATCAGAACACTTGATGAAATTTTACTCAGTGTTACAGTAATGGCAAAGCTTACGTCATCCAAGATGCATAAGCTTAATGTTTTTATTCCTTTTCATTTATTTTCAAGTATGTTCGACATATTTGAATATTAATTATTTCGATATCATAAGTATTAAAATATATATTAAAATAAAATAAATATAAAACCATAATAGCGCCTAAAATGGTAGTACTTGATATACTCGTATAAATTACTAATATCTTAACAAAAACCTAGTCTCATTACATTTAACTCGCCTTTTTATTTGATATTTTAAAATAACCAAAATACAGACATTCATATATATGTATTTCTCGTTTTTGTATCGGTGAACCAGGCGTCATTAACAGTGACCATGTAAAAGGCTCTATAAAAAATATTTGGCTTGGAATAAGGGTCGGAATTAGCTGACTAGCAGCGGGGGTGGATTTTTGTGGCTCGTTCGTTTGGCCGTAAAAAATACGACGCCGCCCGCTGCGCGCATTAGACTATCCAGTTAAACACGCTTTGAATTTGCAATGATAATAATATCTACCCTTATGGTTTATATACCTATTATATACTTTGAATGTTCATTGTAAGCCATAGTTAATTTTATAATAATACTAGCGGCTCACCTTTTAGCTTCACCTCTAGAAAAACAAACAAATCTATCCCACGGGAACTGTACATTTTTCCGGGATAAAAATTAGCCTATATGCTATTCCAAACTATAATCTATCTCTGTGTTAAATTTCATCCTTACTCCCATACTTTTACATTTATAATATTTATACAGATGTATATACAGATTAGTAAACTATAATATCATTTTTGGGATTTAAAATAGGAAAAGTTATTTTGTTTAGCTCATTTTATTAAAGGAAAACGAAATATTAATTGCCTCGCAGCTGTGTTATGTTTGAGGGATACTCTCTGCTTCAAAAGAGGTCACCCGTTCGACCCTTGGTTTGTATATAACAGTAACCATAACTCACGATGTTGGTCTCATTTCACAATAGCGAAGCGTTATGAAAACCTAGATTTAACAAAACTTGAGACCACGTCTGATTTTACCTGTCAATCTAATAAAGTGTATAAAATATTTCTTTTTTGTAAACATACTGGCGACTCATTCTCGCTTCGCTTCATGCCTAGACAAAAACAAATTTATCCCACAGGAACCGTACGTTTTTTGTAAAAAGTATATACCTATGTGCTATTCCAGACTATAATCTATCTCTGTGCCAAATTTCATCCAGATCCGTTCAGCCGTTGTGGCGTGAAAGAAAAACAAGCATCCAACCATCCATCCTCACAAATTTTCACATATAATATATATATGGATTAACTTAATACCCATACATATGCTTTATAATGAAACTAAAACATTAAACGAGAATCTGTGTAAACTTTAAATGTCGCACCACAAAACAGTTTTACATTACTGGCAAAGTGACAGTACACATAAAGGCCAGTCAGTACTGTGATTAAAATAATGTGGCGATTCCGGCGCACCCTGTGAGGGGAGCACCGAGCACACCCTTATCTGCCGTTTGTTATCCTGCGTTTCGGCAGCTACGTAAATGGCTATTTTGAACTTTTGGTTTTGAATTTTACTAGTCTAGTAGATAGATTGGCATAGTTTCAATTATTTTGTATATGTTACTATTTTTTAAAATAATTCATGTTTTATAGTTATATACGAAGGTTTTTTTAGTTTTATACCTCAACTGTCGAAATAAAATTGAAAATATTAAAGGAACAATGTAAAAACTTCTATTGTAGAGAATTTATATGGATCATGGCGATAATAAATAGAAGAAATTAAGGGAGTATATTCTAATCCATTGCGCTTGGCATATCTGTCTTGGTGTATCTATCGCGTTAGAATCATAGATCATGGAAACAGAGTAAGAAATAGAAAGTACATATAAAAATTATGTTAAAATATTAATAAATATAAAAGTAAACCTATTTCGATCCTTTCATGAA